AGAGACTATAAATTTGTAAACCCAAGCCAAAAATAGATCACCTGAGAAAGGCAATCAGCCGAAAATGCTGTAGTGATAATAGTTAAAATAAATTTTGTGGAAGTTTGAAAACAAAGTTTTCAGTGTTTTATTGTTACATAAAATGAATTTCCATCAAGTAACGGTCGAATCCATCAATTAAGAAATGTTAATTGTTTATATATGTTATGAAATACATGTAATAACATAGAATACGGGATCTCATCCAGTCCAGCCGAGGATTTTTTTGAGATATCTTTAATTATACTCTTTATTTTTTCATCACTAACAGAATAAAGGAAAAGGGAGTGTATAGGCGAAGAAAGATTGAGAAAGAGTGAACGCAAGGGATAATGAACATAGGGTTCAATGGAATGATTCAAGTATAGTCCTAAAAGAAACATATGGTAAAAAGGGGAAAATCAAAAGAGCGGCTCTAATTAGCCATCAATAAAGTCAATAAAAGGAAAACATCACCAGTAGTAAGTCAGTAGCATATCGAGGATACATCATTTATGTTTTTAAATATTATACATATAAAATCAGACTTTGGTCTTACATTTAGTTTATTGAGAGTAATCTAAATGTTAGACCAAATACTTACCATGTCTGGATAGTGTTATGAGATTTTTTTCTTTAAACACAAAATTTATTTAATGTAAATATAAATGTTTTGTATTTTGAGAACGATTTCTAAACTGGAAATTAACCAAAAATAAACTTAACTTAATTAAGACATTACATTATTAGGGGCTTCATTTGAACTGAAAATTATAGTTAATCCCTTGTCATCATCATCAGGGCTTTTCATTCCGGGTGGAATGTTTGCCGCTCTTACTTAGAGCTCTCTAGTTCGCTTATTGCGGTAAATCACTCCGCATTCCACTTGTATGTTCCACTCAAAATTTGTTGTATGACTTGGCTTTCGTTACAATTTTCTTCCATTAATTTCGATATGTGCATAGTTCCCTCCAGTTTCTCACTCCCAGAATTTGGATATCTCTCATGACCTGATCCTCCCATCTCTCTTTGGGCCTTTCCCTTGGTCTTTCAGTTGCTGGTTTTCATCTGGTGATCTTCTTAATCAGTAGGTCTTTTTTAGTAGGTACGTTCCTCTATGTGTCCCAGCCATCTCAGAATCTGTGCTTTAATAAATCTAACCTAATCGTATCAAAATATCAAAATAAGACTGGTGAATGCCCTTGTATTCTCAATATTTCTATACGGGGCAGAGTGGATTCTTTGTGGATGCGAGCGCCAAAAAATTGATGCCTTCGAGATTTGGTGCTGGAAAAGAATGCTGCGTATACCTTGGACGTATAACTTAAGATTAAAAAAAGCTGTCCACAATAAGTTTGCAACGTATTCTGTAATTTTTCAGTCACGTGGTTTGCAGAGGTGACAATAGCTTGGAATTAATTGTGTCTGGAAACGTTCCAGGGAGAGATCAAGAGGACGATCATCAACTAAAAGGTCCGACCAAATTAAGAATTTAGCTGGAAACCAATTCTGCGGAGCTCTCAGAGCAGCTGAAGATAGAGACTAATGAAAAAAAAAATGTAAGGAATATTGGAAGAAATTACGATCCTCAGTAATAAGCAAACCACAAGAGAGAGATATTGGAGCGATGGTTCATGGAGAATAAACATGAACTATGAGCTGGATGAATAAATGCAGAGCCCAGATATTGTTAGATTTGTAAAGCAACAGAAATAATGCACCGTAAAAAGTAAACAGACGATGTAGAGGAAGATCTTAAAACCATAAACATCAAGCTGTGACAAAGGACAGAACGGAATGGAAGAACGTTGTTCCAATAAAAGAAGAACTAGAAGTATTAGAACAAATCGTAAGATCAAATATGAAGACCAACAGGACTATTTTCAATAGCAACGAACAGTGTATATATACATATATATATATATATAATATATATATATATATATATATATATATATATATATATATATATATATATAAGGTTCATGAACTCCTAAGTGGAGCATAGAGCTTCAGTGAAAACGCGCCATCGGGTTCTATTTTGCGCTAAGGCCTTCAGCTCATTCCAAGACTTTCCTTGTTTTCTTATCTCGTCCATGATGGATCTTCTCCAAGTTTGTACTGGGCGACCTTTTTTTCGTTTTCCTTGGGGATTCCACTCTAGGGCAGTCTTTGCAATACTGGAGTTATTTTTTCGGAGTGTGTGACCGATCCAACCCCACTTTCTGGACTTTATTTCATTTACTACCCTCTTTTGTTTGGTCAGGTGTAGTAAATCTTCATTTCTGATGATGTTAGGCCAGAAAATATGAACAATTCTTCGTAGACATTTATTAACAAAGACCTGCAGTTTGTCTGTAAGGGTTTTTGTCGCTTTCCAGGTTTCACATCCGTAAAGTAGTACAGACATGACATTTGACTGGAATATGCGGATCTTTGTCCTCGTAGTGTATTCTCCAGACCTCCAAACAGGGTTGAGCATGCTGAAAGCTTGTTGCGCTTTTCGTATCCTCATACGAATATCGTCTTCTGTACCTCCGCTTTCTGTTATGACACTTCCAAGATACGTAAAGTTTTCCACATTTTTAATCTGCATGTTATTAATGGTAACAGGCAGATATCGTCGGCGTATTCTAGATCGCTTAGGCGTGTGGTTAGCGTCCATTGTATCCCTCTTGTGTCAGAGTCTAGTTTGGAGAGAACATAGTCTAGAGCTATGTTAAAAAGAAACGGAGAAAGCACGCATCCCTGTCTGACTTCAGTAAGTACGTCAAATTCGTCACTGTTGATCCCATTGTGTGTCACGCTGCATTTCGCTTCAGTGTACAGTAACTTTATAATGGAAATTATTTTATGCGAGATGTTTCTTAGCTCTAAAATATCATGAGATAAGCTGTCAAAATCACGCTCGAAATCAACAAAAACCATGTATAGGGGTGCGTTCCATTCAACCGATTGTTCCATTATTAGCCTCACAGTATTAATGTGGTCTATGCAGGAGGATTCTGGTCTAAAGCCTACTTGATTAGCTCGAAATTCAACCTTGTTTGTTAATCTTTTAAGTATGATGATCGTGAAGATTTTATTTATGGCGGTAAGCAAGGTTATTCCTCTCCAATTTTTGCATAGTGTGAGGTTGCCCTTTTTTGGAAGCTTAGTAATGATGCCTTTTTTTCCAGCCCGCTGGAATGCGGTTTGTTTCCCACACCTCTCGAATTATGGGGAGCAAAAGTTCAGCAGTTAGATGCGGATCAGTTTTAAGTATTTCGGCAGCAATGTTATCGATTCCCGGAGACTTGTTATTTTTCAGTGATTTGATAGCTGTGATTATCTCTGTTTTGGAAGGGGCGTCGCAAGATATACGCAAGTCTATATTCTGTGGATTTTCGACAATTTCATCTGCGTTATCCCTGGGCGTGCCTAGCATCTCCTGAAAATGCTCTTTCCATCTCTCTATTTGGTCATTTGTTGTAGTAAGTAGTTCTCCTGTCTTGGATCTTACGACGTTTGAAACAGTTGGGCCCACTTTTTGTTAGACGTCTAGTAATTTGGTATAGCTCTCTAGTTCTATTGTGTTGTGCAGCTGTTTCGGCTTGTTTTGCCAGTTCTTCAGCCCATCTTCTTTTGTCTCTTCTTGCATTTCTTTTAACTGCTTTATTTATTGTTTCATATTCTTGTTGTCGGTTCGCTTTTTCTTCTACAGTTCTTGCTTGCAAAATATCTTTTTTTTGCTGTTTTCTTTCTTCGATAAGATTCCAAGTTTCATCTGATATCCATTCTTTTCTATGTTTCTCTTTTTTACCCAGTTTATCTTCAGCTATTTCTGTCAAAACATTTGCCAGATCTTCCCAGCTATTTACTTCACGTTCTCTTCTTTTGAGTTGAAGTTCCTCCCTAAACATGTGTCTTCCTGTACCCGTTTTTAATTTGTCTAGATTGTATGTTGGTCGTTTGGTGTTTCGTGTGATTTTGTTTTTTGCCATTTTGCTTTTAATGGTACCGATTACAAGATGATGGTCGCTTGCGATGTCTGCTCCTCTTTTGTTACGTACATCAAGGAGAGATGATCTCCATCTTTTTGATATGGCGATGTGGTCTATTTGACTTTCTCTTATATGACCTGGTGCAGTCCATGTAACCTTGTGAATATTTTTATGTGGGAAGATGGTTCCACCAATAACTAAGCTAACGAACAGTGTATAGCGTACTCTTAATATGTGATGATAGTAGAATTTTCCAAAAATAATTTCAAATTATTTGAAGTGGAGGCGAAAAAATAAAGACTACCAACAAAACAGACAAAAACTCAATACATTGAAATGAGAGGAGACATAACAAATAGCAAATATATCAAAACGAAAGGAGCAAAAGTAACATTAACGAACACGGAAAAAAAGGAAAAGCGATAAACAAAAATTAATGAAAAATAGCAGAAACGTAAGGTCACTAAATTCAGTACTGAAAGAAAAAAATTATCAATAACAGGAAAACTGCGAGTATACGCGACAGTAATCACTCCCAAGATGATGTTTGCCTGCTAAACTTGGAACATGAACCAACAGGAAGTAAAGAATTTAAAGGGCAATAATTAAATAATATACGAGCAAAATACGAGCTCATGGAGCTAGATGGCTTAATTCCATTATAAGACCAGACGACCGAAATATTATAACAATATTGAAGGAGGGAAAATGGGAAAAAAATAATATTCTACTTAACTGGATACTTCAACTTTTTTTTACTTTATTTAACTTTTTCTTTTATTTCTACTTTATGCTATATTCTTCAGTACCATTTATGTAAGGTCTATTTAAATCATCTTAATTCTTTGTAATATCAATGATACCGTTTAAGTTTTAGTACACCTGTATTTTCCGTACGTTGTCTGATAATGAAAACGGATAATAATATCTGTATTTATATAAGAATGATAATTTTATAACGTTTATTACTACATATAATTTTTATTTATAGACATAAAAATGTCATCCCCGACCCGTGAAGCTGAGATCAACGTGGTTTCCAGCCCGGATTCTTCCAGCCGAAACTCTCCCGAACCAGACACCTACCGCCTCATCAACCACAACTCGAATATTTCTTACCCAGTGATAAAAACGAGTGAAGACGAAGATAGGACTGAAAAAGACACTAAGAAATGTGTAGGTGCATCCACAAATTTTTCTATATCGAGTATTTTATCTAGAGCCGATCCGACGGTGAAGAAAAATGGTGGTTTTATGACTGTTCCTGGAGGGAACGTGTTGGAGGCTAGCGGAATTGGAGGAGGTGCTGATAATGGAGTATTATCCAGGTAAATTTTGTTTTGTGTTTTTAACGATTAGAATATTTTAGATTTTTGTGATAGAGTGATGACTTGTGACATTTGGATAATGAGCCTCTTTCCTATAAAGCCGTTTTAGTTTATTTTAATTTAGCTTATATCAAATTATAATTTTGCTATGTGTATTTGACAGTTTTCATATTATTCGGTATGTGTCTTTAATTTCAAAAATAAATTTTTCTGTAGAAGAATTAATATTAAGGAGAAAGTTCGAAAAATTTCCTACTTAATGGAGCAAGCCAAACGTAAGAGGTTTTAAAAAATTAACGAACCGTTAAGTTCGCACTATGTCAATTGTTCATAAAAAAAGGGAATCAAAACGGTTATAAGGGAAGTAAAAAAATCCTACGTAAACACAAAATGTTTCCCTAACCCATACACTGTAACGATAAAACTACCAAAGAGAATTGAAGTACTATTCTATACTATACTATAAAAATAATACCTAAATCAACCATGGATAGCTTATCGTCTATACATTGCCTAGCTCAGTATCTAAAGGGTGAGTTCCTCTTGTCTTAAACTAGGGATCGAATCTGAACTCTTAGCTGGTAGCAAATAAAACAAATCTTAACCAAACGTATTTATTAAAAAGAATAAAAAAACAATAATTAACCCTGCCAAAGCTTAACAATTAATAAGTGATACTTATTGCTTCAATAGGCTGCTTGTGTGTTCTAGATGTTAGGTCCTCCAATTAAATGTGTCTTCTGGAGAGCTGCAGTCACATATGGGTGTATGTCCTGATTAAATTAAGTCCTCAAATGGTCCTCAATATTTTGAACGTGGTCAATACATTTACTGTGGTCTATAAAATTATTCCATAAAGCCGCCAATATGCCCAATAAACTAAAATACCAGAAACAACTTGTATTAGTGACACATCAAAAGAAATTAAATTTCCTTACCATTTTACAAAATTACAATTAAACAAATTGCGTATGTATAATAATTGTTACTACTTAGTTAAATTCTGTTAAAGAGTCCTAATGCATATAATCAAAGACATGTGCTTTCGAAAGAAAGTAAGGTTACAAATATTGGAAATGCTGTCAGAATTATAGAATAAATATCACAATAAAAGTACTTACCCCACAAGAATTTGTAAACTTCTTTCTTAGAAATAATGTTTGCCTTCTTTTATAAATGTTAAGAAGAGGCAAAAAACCACCACGCTAGAAAAGCTGTTTTGACAGAAAGTGGGTGACTAAATGAAGTTAGCACAGATGTCATAGGATGTTGCTATTTCATGAAACTAGCTTGTCTGTCAACACAAAACAGAATATTTATTCTACTGAACAGAAAGAGAGAGGGCGAATATTAATTCTACGGGACAGAAACAGAGAAAATAAAGTCAGAGGAAGAAAAGAAAAACAGAGGGTGCCAACTACTTTTTAAATAAAAAATAGTAAAAATTAAACTGAAGATAAAGAAATTAAAATGAAATAATTATTTAAATATAAATTAATAGAGATGTGACGTTTATAACGTTACAACAGTTACATCAAATATTAACAGTCAATGATTATCATCGCAGATTAGTAAATGGTATCAGCAGCAAATACATAGCGATCGATTTTTTTTTCAATTATGTGCTTTTTGAAGATGGGCTACACTTTACAAAGATGGAACAGTAAATCGGTATAATTTTCATTACTATTTACAAACATTTTAAATTTATCTCACAAGAAAATGCCACAACATTGACATCCAAATCGTTCTTTAACAAGAACTTCTCTCCGTGATTTGTCGTTTTTTCAATTGCATAGCAATTCATGGAACTTCTTTTGGTAACACCTTTCTCATCGATGCAGTTCCTCATCACATTTTCATCATTCACAATAAGCGTTTTATTGCCAGAATAGTTCATCTATGTATAAAGAAGTTTCATACGCTTATCACTTACATCTTCAACGGCCTTCCTCTTCAATGAGTTGTTGAGTTTTGGTGGATTAGCTTTTCCAGACTGCTGCTCTCTTAATTGTACTCACCACCAAGTCGAGCACTATGTACGGTGCGGAAATTTCCATTTTCACATACATATTACATCCTCGGTCTTTACACTGCTGTCGCTTCAATTCTCCTGAGAATAACTTGTGGAAATTATATTTAAAACTGTTAGCCGCTTGCATGGATTTTCCTCGTTTTCTACGATGATATGATCAAGCACAAGCAAGACGCAGAATTATCAGTAAACTAATTTGAAATAAGTTTGTGGCGAAGAATATTTGAATTTAAAGAATGATTGAAAAATCCAATTTGCAACTGCCCATCCACCCCAATAAACTCTATTGCCTGCCTATCTAAATTTCCAAGAATTTCATCGGAGCCAATTCACGCAAACCACTTTATCGCTAGAGAGCTTATTAACTACAAGCAGAAGCCAATTCATGTGCACCCACAAAGCTATACAATAGAGTAATCATCATAGGTAAACAAAACCAGTACACGCTAGGCATTATATTATATCTGTGCCTCTAGAAAATGCATTAATTAGTATTCACGGAATTCGAGGATCCAGCAGCTGAATGTATAAAGTAACATTACATTAAATTGATAAAACGCAAAATATTAGATACATAATGACACACTTCATTAGTTGGAAAATGAATTAATCTTGATAATGATTCACACAACATTATATAATCAAAAGGTAACAATAAGCAAGTCAATAGTAATAAAATTAACAAAATTATTAATGCAAGGAAGTCAACAATGATGAAGTAAATCAATAAAATTATCAATATAAGCAATATTAAAGAAATCAATATATATATATATATATATATATATATATATATATATATATATATTTATATATATATATATATATATATATATATATATATATATATATATATATATAATATATAACAAGCGAGTCTTCTACAGCTGGCGCCGCTTCTCGCATCCTAATTTCCAGCGTTTTCTGTAGAAGCAATCTTCAGTTGTTAGATCTCTGGCGGTCATTGCATCGTCGACATCGTCTCTCCAGGATCGTCTTGGTCTACCTCGTTTTCTTCTAGTTGGTGGAGTCCATTCTTCTATTTTTTTTGGCCATCTATTTTCCGGCATTCTCTGAAGGTGTCCATACCAGTTAAGTCTTTTGGTTTCGATTGTGTCTATTATGTCTAGATCGATTTCCATTTCTCTCCAAATATCTTCGTTTCTCACCCTATCAAGTCTAGTGAGCTGGCAACATCGTCTCCAGTAGTTCATTTCCACGGCCTTAATTTTTGATTTGTTTCTTTGGTTTATTTCCCAGAGTTCGGCGCCGTACTGTCCAATACTTTCTATTATTGTTTTATAAAATCTTCTTTTATTTTCTTTTGTTATTTCTTTATTCCATAATAGTCCGTGTAGCTGTCTGGTGGCTGATCTTGCTTGGCCAATCCTGGAATGTATTTCTTCGCTACTTCCTGCTTTTGATGTTATTTGGACTCCCAAGTACTTAAAATTGTCTGTTGGTTTTATAGTTCCCATTTCGATTTGTAGGCTTTCTGGTTTTTCTCCTACAACTAAGTACTCAGTTTTTTGTATATTAATTGTGAGACCCCATTTGGTGTACTTCGCAACAATGTATATAACAAGTAAATGGTACTTGCTATAAAACATAAAACAGTGTAAATTAAAAACGCAAATCTTGAATCTCCACGTGTTTTGCAGATGGCGGACCCTAACCTCTTAGATAGGACCCAACTATGTCATTCGAAAGATCAGAATCAAGTTAAAGTTGCAATTTCCACTTCGGAAATCGTTTTAAAAATACAAATATCAATAAATTAAACAAATTTTGTTTAATTTATTATTGTTTGTATTTTGAGAACGATTTCCGAAGTAGAAATTGAAACGTCAATAAACTAATTTTGTTTTATTATTGTTGCTAATTGCCAATGTTTGTTATATAATTGTTGCTAATTGCCATTAAAATAGTATCTAAAATATTTCTCCTTACCGCGATACAGAGTGTTTTATTACAAATTTCTAAAATGATTTTAGCCCATTGTTTGAACATCATCATCAACTACCCTCTAAAGTCCACTGCTGAACAAAGGCCTGTCCATCTCGTTGGGGGTCGACCTCTGTTTCTGTTAGCTTGTATTCGGGGTCTCCATTCCAAAATTCCTTTTGTCCATCAGTCATCAACTCATCTTGCTTCATGACCTGCCCAGTTCCACTTTAGTGTTGTTATCCTTTCAATAACGTCTGCTTCTCCTGATCTTTTGCATATAGTGGCATTGGGTATTCTATCACGTAGATAAATCCCTAACATTATTTTCTCCATTGCCCTTTTCGCAACTTGTAGTTTATTCACTGTTGTTCTTGTGAGTTTAGGGTTTCTGCGCTGTAGGTCATCACTGGCAAAATACACTGATTAAATACTTTTCTTTTCAGACAGATTGGAATCTTAGACCTAAAAATATCCGTCATCTTTCCAAATGCAGTCCAAGCGAGGTTTATTCTTCTTTTCAGCTCGATTGTTTGGTTGTCTCGACTTATTCTGATCTTATGGCCCAAGTATTTATAGGAGTCAACTGACTCAATATCTTTGTCTTCTACTGTGTTTTGTTTTAAAAATTGTGTTTTTGAAAAATTTATTTTAAGACCAACTCTTTTCGTGGCAGTGGCATGGACTTGTTGGAGCATTATCTGTGCCTGATCAAAGTTGTCTGCAATAAGAACGATATCATCTGCAAATTTAAAGTTATTTAAAAAAATTCCAGCTATATTGATGCCCTTTTCGTTCCAATCTATTGTTTTACAAACGTATTCTAGCAAAGTTGTAAATAATTTAGAAGACATGTTGTGTCCTTGCCGAACGCCTCTTTCAATACGAAAGGTCCCAGTATCTTCATTAAGTCTTACACAGGCTGTACCATGCTGATAGATGTATCTTATGAAGGTTATGTATCGGTGATCTATTCTACATTGTGTTAGAGCTTGGAGCATTTCACTTCGATTGACCATCA